ACAGTATCAGGAAATGAAATATCGCGATATTTCAGTGTATCGATATTTTCTTACACCCCTACAAAATACCTCGAGGAACACGGTCACAGACCTTCAACTGTACAAGAGTGAACATCTGGTCCAGGCTTCCATGAYCACAAACACTGCTCCTCCTGAATCTGAGGTTCAACAACACATCAGAGTAAACTGGAGGGTGAGAAGTGTGATCCTTCGATAGTCGGAYCATTCTCTGGTCCCCTTTTTCAAACCAGGGATCGCCACTCTGGTCTGCTGCTCCACAAGTGTGCTGATGACACTATCATTTATACTCAACTTTACTTAACTCTGCCCTCTCCACATTACAAAAGAGTTTCAGTAACATTCAGCATGCCTTCTTCATCTAAAACTGAAAACTCCAAAAACAAAATGCATTTTCTTTAAAGGAGACGTACAGTATGATTCAAAAAGTCTTTCTGTTAAATACAATTTGTTGTGTACCTGAAGTCTCTGCAGAAAAGATTAATTCAGTCTCACCTGGTGCTGCAAATATACAGAATCTTTATATTCTGTTTGGGTCAGATTTTTCAAATCATTAAATTTTCTTAATTTTCTAGGACGTTTTCTCAACTATTATGGTATTTATTCATGTAAAATACCATATTGAGTATAATGCAATCATTATTTTAGCTTAAAAAGCATAAAAAATCTAATTATATGTGAAGCCACCACTCATTTCAGACAGACTTTGGGATATTTCAGTTCTTTGCGGTGCGCCCTCTGGTGGTGAAACATTATTTGGGGGGAACAGTGTGGGCGTGTTTTGCTGCAGAACTGCAGAGGACGAGCAGCGGAAGTTTCCAGTTCTGTGTCACTGAAAAAAAAAACTACTCCCAGACCAGAGCAGAAGTTGTTAAATTATTAAGATGGATTTATCAGAACATGCAACTAAAGTCCAAGTCTTCTTTACATTGCCGCGGTTTACATGAAAAATAGGTATTTTTTTCTCCTCTGACTCTTGTGAGTAAAAAATGTCTACAACGACTTTGTGCGACTTACGGGAGAATATTTCAGTCATATATGAGGAAATGTTGAAATTATTGTGGTTGCACATTAAAAAAGGTCAGTCATAATTTACTCCCATGTGTAAAAGTACTATTTTCGGCCTCTTGGCCAGGTCGTGACTCGTCATTGTAAAGAAAATGTGTTCTCAACAAGCTAACCTGGATAAATAAAGGCCATATTAAAAATGTACTGATTATTTCCTGAAAGTTTAAGAAGCAGTCTTACCCCAGGATGTATTCACAGATCAGTCTGCAGTAGTCACTGTGGGAGCTGGTGATGAGCAGCAGAACCTTCCCAGCATTCTTCATACTGCGCAGCCAGGTCTTCACCGAGTCCGAACAGGGCTGCAGATAGTGACCTGGATCTCTCTTCATACTGGGGAAGTATGTCCCTGAATCATCTGGAGACAAACACAACAGGACTCAACTTAAGGCTCTATTAGGAAAGAATATCTTTTTAAATAATTACATTTTAAATGTTGACACTAAATAACCTTGTGTGGACTGAGGATGTTTCTTTTATTCTTCCACCAATTCAATCATTTACATTTTTTATTAACTTGTATTTACTGTATCACTGTAAACACAGGTTGGTTGTTGGTTCATTTGGACCAAAGTGGTGGCAGCACGTGGTGACAGATTGTTTTTTTACACACATTTTAGAGCCCATGAGACATGATGCCAAGCTCCTTAGAGACTCCTCCCACTGCTCTTTAGAGACTCCTCCCACTGCTCTTTAGAGACTCCTCCCACTGCTCTTTAGAGACTCCTCCCACTGCTCTTTAGAGACTCCTCCCACTGCTCTTTAGAGACTCCTCCCACTGCTGTATATGTCACGGGGTCTTCCTGCTGGAGTCTACACTCTGGCTGTGTCCAAAACGGCAGGACGGGTCCTCCGAAGGCCGAATTTGACGGCCACATACGTCACAGCGCTGCGACGAAGGACGTCCAAAACCGAAGACTCCTCCGATGCGGCCGACAAATACGTCCTTCTTTTTCCCCGATTTGAAGGACAGGTCCGATGGATCCTTCCCGGCCCAGCATATCCCATAATGCATTGCGGCCCGACCGGAGATTTTTTTAAGCTAGTAATGGCGGACGAAGCGAGAGAAAAGAATACGTTTTAAATAAAAATATGGTGATTTAAAAATTTTAAAAAATTAGCGGTTGTAATTCTAATACTTTTATCATTTGTATGGACATGTTTTTAAATATTATTTTTTCATCATAAAAAACGCGAAATAAACATGAACCTACAGCGGGTTAATTAGTTCTTCAAATGATACTTTTAAGTTAATTTTATAGTTTTGTGATATTAATAATGCTAATGTATTGATAATTTTCTAGTTTAGATTTAAGTTTGCTTGTTTAGCATCGTCACAGTTGCTAGGTGACAAGACGTACGCCGGCGTAAGGAGGGGAAGCTAGACCGTCCAAATTCACAGCCTCTTTTTTCCGGTCTTCCCGGTCTACCAAGGACCCGGCCCGCCATGACCAGGGAGTCTGGGTCCTCCGGAGGACCCGGCCTGTCGTTTTGGACACAGCCTCTAATATCAGCCGTTAATTTGGCCACATATCTGTCACCAAAAAAGTTCCAGTTTTCTTCCTGCACGACACGTGTGAACTCTTTATTTTAACCATTTGACCCTCTTTTTGAGCGTCTTCTTGCAGGTACAACAGTCGGCTTCTGGAAGAGGAGTAGCTGAAGCCAAACACCATCCCTGCTGTCCAAGAGACCTGGGGCTGAGGACAGAATGGTGTGATTTCCATCACACAACTGTGTCGATGACGGTGGATTTTGCAGGTTTGGATGGACCATGCAAAGGCCTTAAAGGAGACCAATTATGGGTCCTAGAAATGTTTATGGTATGTCTGTGGGCTATCCAGACCATGTTCATTCAATTTAWTGCACAAAATAATTCTCAGATAATAAAATTTCCCATTTTCTAGTTCTGCTGCTCTGACTTCCGTTCAGAAGAGCTGTTTATGTTAATGAGCTCTGTTGGTAACGCCCTCCAAAAATCTGTTGACATTAACTCCGCCCTCCAAAGCCAGCGTTTACGTTAGCATGGCTAGTGCTGATCTACAGCTGCTCAGTGAAAATCTGATTGTTGACTGAACTGTAATGTCTTTGGGTTCTGGACTTACAGTCRCTTACGGGGGAGGTGCTTGTTTAGCCTCAGTTTAAAGACTTGACCACCTGTTTGTGTGACGTCTCCATCAACCACAAGAAGAATATTCCACATTGTCAGTGCAGAGTGGAGAACTTGGGGAATACCACCGCATGGCTTGGTGTTGACCAGACTGTGATATGACCTGAAGTATGAGCTGGAAGGAGCAGAGGGTKGTTACATCTTGTAGAAAAGAGTTGCAGCTACTACTTTGTGATGAGCCAGTTTGGTGACTTTAGGCAGAGTCCTGGTCCACACTGATGATCTTTAAAGGACTTTCTCTGTGTGTTATCCCGCTGCCTAAGAGTGAAACATTCATTCAGGCAAGACCACAGTACTCCATAATACTCCTGGTCTAAGCTTTGTAGACACTGGCTCTGAACCTAAGGTCAGATTTGTTGGTCAACCTGTGCATTTCTCTGAGGCAGTGTGCAACATTTGTTGTTCAGGTAAGTTTGTTATCAGAACTGAGACCTGGAATCTCCATGTCTTCTCTTAGAATGAATTATTCCCAGATAAGAGATTTAATTAAAGATGGAATTCTCTTCATGGACATACAGCAGGTAAAATAAGTATTGAACACGTCACCATTTTTCTCAGTAAATATATTACTAGAGGTGCTAATG